TCAACCAGCCAGTGCCATTAGTACAGTGTCAGTATATAGAATTTTTCACTGATCACTGTATTACTGCCACTAGCAACATCAGATAATGTCAGGGACTGTAAGCTCCCCTCCTAGCCAGGGTCAACTAGTGTTAGATCGTCCACACACTATCGTGCTCATGCTATAGGTTGCTGATCACCACCATTACTAGTATAGTATTTGTACAGATCAATATATTGATCACGAACAGAACTATACTAGTGCCTCCTTTGTATAGGGTCTCCAAAAATGCAGTGTTAGCAGGATTGGCCCCGTTCGCTGCCAGCACTAGCATTTATCCCTTCTGCTATTTTTCATGGAAGATTTGTATCAATTCATTGTGAGCAAAAGCAATTTTTATGCACAATACATTGCCACCCACGCAAATTCAGCTACTGCCAGACAATTTGCATGGAAACCTATCACAGTTTCTAAATTTAAAAAAGAATGAATTGCGGTCATATTGGTCCAGAGACCCGATTTATCATATGCCCGTGTTCTCTGCTGTTACATATACAGTGCTCAGCATAAATGAATACACATCAACAGATTTGTCAGAAAACCTTTCCTTTCCTTTCAGAATCAACGATTTCTATGGGAAATTATACTACATAATACTCCCACCAATGCGGGCCATTGATTGCAAACATGATTTGTTAACACACAAAGTATTTTTCCTAACAAATTAATTCAAGACCATGTTGCAAAAATAAATACACCCCAATGAAAGTCTTAGGAGCAAAGCTGAATATTAGACAACAAAACCCTAATTAACAAGAATTCAACTACAGGTGAGTCTAATTATTCATTAAACAGGTGTCCAGCAGACAGTTGATTATAAAAGGGATGCACTTAACAAAGAAAACCCCTTCCCATTTCATGCTATCAGCAAAGGCACCACATGGAAGAGAAATGTCACAAGGCTTGAGAAAGAAAATATTTTCTTTACACAAGAAAGGTGAAGGCTGCAAGAAGATCAGCAAAGCTTTACTTATCAGTCAGAATACTGTAGCTAAAGTAATACAAAAATGAAACAAAGATGGAACTGCAACCATCTCAAAGAGAGGTCCAGGCCATCCACAGAAGTTAATGCCTCGACAGGAGTGTCTTCTGATGAGAAAGGTTGAAGAAAATCACCATGCAAGTTCACTGCAGTTAGCTAAAGGAGTAGAAAGAAAAAGGGGTGATTGTTTCTTGTGACACAGTTGGCATGCATGGATGTTGTCCATGAAGGAAGCCTCTCCTAAACCCAAGCACAAAAAAGCCCACCTAGAATTTGCCAGGGCCCATGCTGAAAAATAAGACTACTGGGACTCTGTGCTCTGGAGTGATGTGACCAAGATAAATGTTTTTGGAACTGATGGCTTCAAAACTGCATGGCATCGCAAAGGTGAGGAGTAGAAAGAAAATGCATGGTGCCTACAGTGAAACATGGTGGTGGCAATGTCCTTCTGTGGGGCTGCATGAGTGCTGCTGGTGTCAGGGAGCTGAATTTCATTGATGGTATCATGAATTCACAGATGTACTGCTCTATATTGAAAAAGAAGATGCTACCATCACTCCATGACCTTGGTTGTCATGCACTCTATATTGAAAAAGAAGATGCTACCATCACTCTGTGACCTTGGTTGTCATGCACTTTTCTGACATTTATTTATTTCAGGTACTTATATAGCACTGCCAATTTGCACAGCACTTTACATATATATATTGTACATTCACATCAGTCCCTAACCCTCGAAGAGCATACAATCTAAGGTCCCTAACTCACATTCATACATACACATACTATGGACAATTTAGAGAGGATCCAATTAACCTACCAGCATGTCTTTGGAGTGTAGGACGAAACCAGAGAACCCAGAGCAAACCCCCAGTGGCACAGGGAGAACATGCAAACTCCAGGCAGGTGGTGCTGTGGTTGGGATTCAAACCAACGACCCTAGTACTGCTAGGTGGAAGTGCTAACCACTAAGCTACTGTGCCACCCCATGATCCAAAACACACATCTAACTAAGGCCACTGTTGCATTTCTGTAGAACAGGGTGAAATTGATTCAGTGACCAAGTATGTCTTGCCAGATATTAACAGGGCCATTTTTAAATTGGGAAAGCATCCAATAACACTGATCTTGGTGTGATCAGATGCTTTAAGGGCAGAGGAGAGATCTAGAGTCTAATAGACTCCTGATTTCTGAGAAAAGAATACCTGTCAAGTGCTAAAAAAAAAAAAAAAAAAGAAAGGGACAGTGTAAAAAATAAAAAAAAAAATAAATAAATCACCCCACCCTGCCCCCCTTCCTGTGCTCATACGCAAAGGTGAACGCAAGCGCTGGTCCTGTATCGGTATGTAAACATAGATTGCACTATGCATGTGAGGTATCACTGCGAATGTCAGATTGTGGGCAGTAATTCTAGCACAAGAGATAACAGTGTTCGTAGGGTGCTCTGCATAGCTATGACCTCCAGGAGAAAAGGATCTTGGGCATCCAGTGGAGGGAAGGGACACCAGGTAAAATGGAAGCACAGTAAACACTGGAGCAGCTCTTCAAGAGTGGAAGCAGACTCTACTAACAGTAAATAGCAAGGAAGGCGCCTCTAAGTTCAGTATACAGCAGTTTGTTGAATAGCAAAAGGTTAAAAGCACTTAGAAGATAGCAGTCAGATAAAAGCTCATCAGGTATAATGCCAGGGGGAGACACTGAGCCAACCAGCTGTAGTGAGTGTGGTGGAACGGACAGGCAAGATGTCCGCTGTACTTCCAGGAGAGACGTGGAATGCACACGCCAGACGTAACGTCAAGGGGCAGTAATGCTTTTCGGAGCATGCTCAGACACGCCTTCCTCAGACTGTAAACCCCTGTGATAGGAGTTACCTAAGGGATAATATTGGCATTACAAGTAAAGAACAAAAAAAAAAAATACACACATATACACACAAACATAGAATAAGTAAGTACATATGAACATACATACAATAGCTGTGCATTATACATATAAACATTTCTGTAATAATAATATACTAGATAAGATACATATTTAGCTGACAATTAAAATAAAAATCAAATGGAAAAATGAATTAAAATTACAAAAATAATTGACGTCACATCCGGCGTGTGCGTTCCACACCTCTCCTGGCAGTACGGCGACCATATTGCCCGTGCGTTCCACCACACTCACTACCGCTGGTTGGCTCAGTGTGTGTCCCTGGCATTATACCTGATGAGCTTTTATCTGACTGCTATTTTGTAAGTGCTTTTAATCTTTTACCTTTTCAATAAACTGCTGTATACTGCACTTAGAGGCTTTTAAAGCTTTGCCTATTAATATTAGAAATTTACATAGTTTGTCAGCGTTGCACGGGCATGTGCAATTTTAAAGCATGTCATGTTTGGTATCTATTTATTCAGCATAACATCTTCTTTTATATTTTAGCAAACAATTAGGCAATATATTGTGTTTTTGTGCTACAAGATTCAAAGTGTATTTTTTCCAAAACATTAACATTTGAAAAATCGCTGAGCAAATACTGTGTGGCGTAAAAAATTGCAACACCCACCATTGTTTTCTCTAGGGACATTGCTTGAAAAAAATAAATGTTTGGGGGTTCAAAGCAATTTTCTAGCAACAAAAATGGTTTTTCATGTAAACAAAAGGTGTCAGAAAAGTCTTGTTCTTCAAGTGGTTAGCAAAATGGGTGATATGGGGCAGAAGCTTCTAATGTTGGCCCTAAAATGCGAGCATAGTAGAAGCACCCTCCCACCCCCAAATGATACCTTTTTGGAAAGTAGACACTCCAAGATATTTGGTAAGGGGCATGGTGAGTATTTTGCAGATCTCATTTGTTGCCACAAGTTTTTGTGAAATGAAGAAAGAGAACAAAAATTTATTTTTTGTTTCCTTTTTATCCAAAACCCTGTGACAAAAATGATATCTGCAAAATAGTCACCATGCTTTTAACAAATTCCTTGGATTATCTACTTTCTAAAAAAGGGTCTTTTGAAGGGTGGGGGGGGTATTTGTACTATTTTGACATTTTAGGGCCTCCAAAACTGTGATAGGTAGTGAGGAATTGTTATGAGGAAATATGCCCTTTGAAAACCCGGAAGTGGTCATTGAAGTGGATAGGCTACCAAAAAAGTCTCTCAAATGTGGTATCCCTTTCCTCGGGAGAAGTAGCAGAATGTGTTTTGGGGTGGTTTTTTTTCCACATATAGCCATGGCATGCATGAGCAATATATCATTTAAGTGACAACTCTAGTTAAAAAAAAGTGTAATTTTTCAAAAATGTAAAAAAAAAACAAAAAAAAATAAAATCTTCCATGGACTCAACATGAATCTAAGCAGATTTCTTGGAATGTCTCCAAAAAGGGGTCATTTGGGGGGTCTCTGTACTGCCCTGGCATTTTAGCACCTCAAGAAATGTGATAGGCAGTCAGAAAGTAAGAGCTGCATAAATTTCAGTATACTGTATATACCATGGTTTGTAGACGCTATAACTTTCACACAAACCAATTAATATACAAGATTTTTCTGACCAAAGACATGTAGCAGAATACATTTTGGCCTAAATTTATGACTAATTTTGAGTTTATTGGATATTTTTTGTAACCGGAAGTAGAAAATCTTTTTTTTTTGGGTATTTTTTTGTTCATATCACAACAAATAAAAACCCAGTGGTGATCAAATACCACCAAAAGAAAGCTCTATTTGTGTGAAAAAATCACATAAATTTCATTTGGGTACAGCATGACCGCACAATTACCAGTTGAAATAGCGCAGTGCCGATTAGCATACAATGGTGTGGTCAGGAAGGGGGGTACATTTTCTGGAGGGCAAGTGGTTAAACAACTTATATTTTATAAGCAAAATAGAACCATGGAAGTGCTTTATGAGATATGTTTTTATAGGACTTGGCTTTATGTTTTACATACTTACATTTCAGCACAATATCAACAGTCAGAATCTTGTTGGGATGCAGAAGATGAGCACCCCCACCAGGGGTGGACTGACAACTCATGGGGCCCCTGGGCAATAGGGGATCATGGGGCCCCTATGTCCTTGGCAAAACTCAAAAAAGCCTATGAAAAAGGTACCAGTGGCATCTCATGGGGCCCCCTACTGACCCCAGGCCCTCAGGCAGTGCCTGAGTTTCCAAATGGTCAGTCCACCCCTGACCCCCACACTCTGTGAGAGAGCAGCAGTCTCACTCCAATGGTCCAACATGACACCCTGCACAATTACTCCTGTGTTCCATTCGGCAGGGACCATGAGTGTTGCATATGGGCACACAGTAGCTGAGATTGCACAGAAATAGATGACTGTTCTCACACAGAGCAGTTCACTCTTGGCAACAAGCAAACAAATTAAATGCCCCCTGTTCAAATGTCTACATCCCCGTAGTTCTTAGTACTGTGTATTGCCCCCATTAGCATCAATGACAGCATGCAGTATTTTGTAATAGTTGTCTAGGAGGCCCTGAATCTTTGCAGGTGGTATAGCTGCCCATTAGTCTTGGCAAAATGCCTTCAGGTCATGCAAAATCTTTGGTTGTCTTGCATGAACCGCACATTTGAGATCTCCCCAGAGTGGCTTGATGATATTAAGGTCAGAAGACTGTGATGGCCATTCCAGAAACTTCACCTTTTTCTGCTGTATCCACTGGAGGGTCAACTTGACGTTGTGCTTTGGGTAATTGTCATGCTGGAAAGTGAGTCCCATGTACAGCTATCATACAGAAGAATGCAAAATATCTGCCAGTATTTTCTGATAACATGCTGCATTTATCTTGCCACCAATTTTAAGAAGGTTCTCCATGCCTTTAGAGCTGAAACACCCCCAAAACATCAGTGAGCCACCACCATGCTTCACAGTAGGTATTGTATTCTTGTCACTATAGGCCTTGCTGACCCCTCTCCAAACATAGCACTTATGCTTATGACCATATAACTCTATTTTGGTCCAGTCACTCTAGAAAAGTGTAACAGAAGCTGTGAAGCATGCCAAGATGTTGTTGGGCATATTGCAACCAGGCTTTTATGTGGCACTAGCACACGTAAAGGATTCTTTCTGGCAATTCAGCCTTGCAGCTCATTTTTGTTCAAGTATCATCGTACTGTGCTCCTTGAAATAGCAACACAGTCTTTTTCCAGAGCAGCCTGCATTTCTCCTGAAGTTACCTGTGGAGTTTTTTTTTATCTTGAACAATTCTTCTGGCAGTTGTGGCTGCAAACTTTGTTGGTCTACCTGACCTTTGCTTGGTATCAGGAGATCCCTGAATTTTCTACTTCTTAAAAAAGTGAGTGAACAATACTGACTGGCATATTCAAGGCTTTGGATATCGTGTTATGTCCATCTTTATAATGTTCCATTACCTTGTTACACAGGTCTTTTGACAGTTCTTTTCTGCTCCCCATGGCTCAGTATCTAGCCTGCTCAATGCATCCATGTGATAGTTAACAAACTAATTGACTATTTATACACAGAGACGAATTGCAATTTAAAAAGTCACAAATGCAGGAAATTAACCTTTAATTGCCATTTTAACCTGTGTGTGACACCTTGTGTGTCTGTACCGAAGCCAAACACTCCAGGGTATGTAAACTTGATCAGGACCATTTGGGGGCATTTCTGTTATCATTATGGCGATTTTATAATAAATGGATTCATATGATCACTATACTTAAATAAAATAAATTTTTTTTGACATGATCAGTTATATATTCAATATCAATGCCAAATGTAACAATTTCTGCCAAGGCATGCAAACTTTTGAGCACAACTGTATTTATGTAGCTCCTCCCCCAAAGGAGCTTTGGATTTTTGGATTTCTGGCCTATTCCCCCCACACAGCACCCGCAGCCAGGCTAAAAGAATTTTCCACACTCTCTCCAATGGCTCAATAAACAGTCTAGGGGAGTTGGTTTTGGTGTTTATTGTAGGACCGCTGAATATGGATGGGGATTGGGGTACATGGGATACCCATTTGAAACAATCTGTAAACACCAAATAAACAGTTGAGGACCTGCTAAGTCTCTGGCTGCTCTAACCTGAACTGTAAACTGGGCTGCACATCAGTGAGAGTAATAGTGCAGCAGTAACAAGGAAAAGAAGTTCCAAATAGTTCTGTTAAAGACATAGCACCTGGCTGTATTGCATGGCACCTGGCTGCCGTAGTCCCACTCTCAAATATAAAGAATTAGCATGCTCCTGGTTGTCTTGCACTGCACTTGAGCTACACTTGGTCCCAGACACATGAGGTATTACGCTTCACTGTCCTCTCCTTCCTTTAAGGGTGATGGCTGGTTTGTTCTCACTCAGTCCCTTTGGGAAACTTCCAGGATTCAGAGTGGCTGCTGTCTTGGCCTTTCTGATGGACAGGCTGCTTCTGGCATGGCTGAGGGTCTGCAGCTAAGCCTAGATGAGACCTAAACTGGGTAAGTTCCTGGTGTTCTTTTCTTCCGTCTCCCTCTTTCTCCTCTCTGCACTAATGGCAGAGCCCCCAGTATATGGGTCCCTTCAGATGACTGGACCCTGAATTCTGTTTCCAGACTGCCTGTCAGGAAATGCCTGCCCGTAGCACAGGTGAAGCTCTGAGGCGCACGAATATGCGCATGTGCAGGGTTCTGGCAAGCCGAGCAGATGTGCGGGCGCCTGGACAGAGGCGCGCGCAGCTGAGCTCGTGCATGCGCACTCGCACACAGGCGCGCACTGTCACTAATGCTGGCGCTTAGAGGGCTATTTAAACTGGCTGCTGTGGTTACCTCATTGCCGTATGGTCTTTCCCCCTGCTCGTGCTCCTGACTTCTGTGATTGTTCCCTGTTGCCAAAACCAGCCTGTTTCCTGACTTCTAATTGATTGCCTCCTGCCCTGACTTCTGGCCTGTCCTTGGATTATTCTTCTGCCTGCTCCTGCTTGATCAACCTCCTGTTATTGAACCTGGCCTGTGACCTGACTATTCTCCTGCCTGCCGTTTAAACCTAATCTGTGTCGTCTAATACCGAACCCGTCTCGTCTGACTCTGCTTCTCATTACACGGTGCTCCTGCATCCATCCATCCTGCACGGTTACATCTGCACCCTGCTCTGGTCTGCTACTCATCAGTCCAACAGCTATCACTGGACAGATCTCAGGCCCTCTTACCCGCCGAGCTCCCGCGACCGCTGTCCCACTCTCAGTGGTCCTTGAGCCGGAGTTGTACGAGAGGTCTGCCTCTTCACTGCAGGCTCACTACCCAGGTACGTGACACTGCCAGGCTTCTGTGTATTTATGGGCTACTTCCCCACCTTCTGGCCCTGCCTTCATAGGGATTTGTGGAAGCTCCATAAATATTCAGACTGCAGCTTTTGTCTCTCACCCACTATGTTCTGGAAATTTCCAGTGAGTTCCAGAAGACAGGGAGAAGTAAGAGAGCCACAGCCTGTGAAGCACTGCACAGCCTCTTAAACCTACGAAGGTGACAACTAATTTTACCTAACAATTAGCAAACTAGGAGGACGCTACATTTGTAATGTGCTGCACTCATTTAATCAGTGGCAAACCCAAACTGCATATACCTTTCTTCCTCTTACTCCATTCTGAAGCTATTGAAGTTACTACGTTCTGAAGGTACTGTAGTCTTATGGTACATGTGTACTGCTGTCTTTTGAACTACTGGCTGGAAGCGCTGATCAGTGTATTCTGGTGGGGGAGGTCTCCCCTATCAGACAATAGCATGGCAGGAGAGATCCCTGCATATGGACAACACAGAGGCTAAATTGTTAGCACTTCTGCCTGGCAGTACTAGGGTTGTCAGTTCAAATCCCAGCCATGGCACCACCTGCCTGAAGTCTGCATGTTCTCCTTGTGCCTGCTTGGGTTTCCTCTGGGAGTTCTGGTTTCCTCCCACACTCCAAAGACATGCTAGTAGGTTAATTGGCTCCTGTCTACATTGGCTCTAATATATGTATGAATGTGAGTTAGAGACCTTAGACCAGTGGTTCTTAACCTTGTTGCAGGTACTGAACCCCACCAGTTTCATATGCGCATTCACCGAACCCTTCTTAATTGGAAAAATAAAATATGATTTTTAAAATTCAAAACATAGGTATATATTTAGGTATATATTTATACATAGGTGCACAAAATGAACAAAACCGTTAAGAACAAAGAACAAAACCATTAAAACATGATTTTCACACAAAAATAAAAACATAATATTGAATATTTACTGCACGAATCATATGAGTCGGGTGTGGGTCTTCACCTCCACCGAACCCGCGAGACTGACTCACCGAACCCCTGGGGTTCGATCGAACCCAGGTTAAGAACCACTGCCTTAGACTGTATGCCCCTTGAGGGTTAGGGACTGATGTGAATGTACAATAAATATATATAAAGCACTGTGTAAATTGATTTGGCTATACAAGTACCTGAAATAAATAATTATATGGCATAAATGAAAAAAACTGCATGTGTATATCAAGCTTTAGACTACAACAGACCAAAAGGGAACATATAGGAGAAGTTCATTGTGAGGGATTACCTAAGCTTAAAAAAAATAAACTTAAAAGCAATTCCACTTTTGTTGAGAAAAAAAAAAACAATCCCCTCTGGGTGATCTATGTACATTGCAGGGATTTTAACAAGCTTTGTAGCAGATTCTTACCTTTTACTGTTCTGAAGATTCAGCTATTGCAGATTCAGTCTTCCCAGCCTGGTGCAGGTCTACAATTTTGTTTCAGGTGTCCTTCGACAGCTCTTTGGTCTTCACCATAGTGGAGTTTGGAGTGTGACTGTGTGAGGTTGTGGACAGGTGTCTTTTATACTGATAACAAGTTCAAACAGGTGCCATTGATACAGGTAATGAGTGCAGGACAGAGGAGCCTCTTAAAGAAGAAGGTACAGGTCTGTGAGAGCCAGAAATCTTGCTTGTTTGTAGGTGACCAAATACTTATTTTCCACCATAATTTGCAAATAAATTCTTTCCAAATCAGCCAATGTGATTGTCTGGATTTTTTTTCTCATTTTGTCTCTCATAGTTGAGGTCTACCTATGATGCCAATTACAGGCCTCTCTCATCTTTTTAAATGGGAGAACTTGCACTATTGGTGGCTGACTAAATACTTTTTTGCCCCACTGTAATTGTACATCTATATATGTGGAAGACCAGATATAGTGAATGCTAGGTCCTGGGTTTAGTAACACTTTAACACTTGCCCTCCAGTGGAGTTACCCCCCTTCCTGACCAAGCCATTTTTTGCGTTTTTTAACTGACAATAGCACGGCCATGCAACACTGTACTTAAATTACATTTATGTAATTTTTTTCCCACAAATAGAGCTTTCTATGGTATTTGATCACCTCCGAGTTTTTTATTTTTTGTGCTATAAACAGGGGTGGACTGACCATTCAAGCACTTGGGCACTGCTCGAGGGCCCGGGGTCAGTAGGGGGCCCCATGAAATGCCCCCTACTAGGCCCCATGAAATGCCCCCTATAGGCTTTTTTTGAGTGTGGGCAAGGACACAGGGGCCCCATGATCCCCTATTGCCTGGGGACCCCATGAGTTGTCAGTCCGCCCCTGGCTATAAACAAAAATACACCAACAATTTTGAAAAAAACCCAACACAATATTTTTTTATTTTTGCTATAAAACATATACTATAAAAAAATCTAATTTCTTTATAAATTTAGGCCAAAATATATTCTGCTACGTCTTTGCCAAAAAAAATCCCAGTAATTGTATATTAAGTGGTCTACGTGAAAATTATAGCACCTACAAATGTCGGTATATATACTGCAATTTAAATTTTTATATACTAGTAATGGCGGCGATCAGTGACTTATAGCGGGACTGTGGTGGACATTCTGACACTAGGGGGAACTGACTAACTGCCACTGACATCCCCAGTGACACAAATACAGTGATCAGTGCTAATAAAAAGCACTGACACTGTACTAATGGCACTGGGCAGGAATGGGTTAACATCTGGGGTGATCAAACGGTTAACTGTGTGCTGTGTTGTGTTTTGCTAGGGAGACATGTTGTTTTGTATCTCTGCTGTGCAGAGAGATACAAAACAGCATGTCCATGCTGACAGGAGAGAGACCTGAGTCTTTTACACACAGGTCTCCCCTGTCAGCTTTCCCCAATGATCACCAAGTGCTGGCCAGGAATCGCTGGACAGGACCCAGTGATTAACATCTCTAGCTGCCAAAAGTGGTGCGGATAGGGCAGCGCGTGGGCGTGCCCCCTACTCAGAGATGCAAATTACATATACTGTATATACACGGGATTTTGCGCAGCCCTGCCACTGTGTATTTATTATTATTATTATTATTATACAGTATTTATAAAGCGCCAATAGTTCGCTCAGCGCTGTACATTACAAAGGGGGACAGAACATGTGACAGAACAATACCAATACAATGCAAAACATGAGGGGATCGAGGGCCCTGCTCTTTCGAGCTTACAATCTAGGAGGGAGGGGATGGTGGCACAGGAGGAGATAGCTGTGGGGGATGGAGTGGTAGGAAGAGTGGAGGAGGTCGGCAAGTTAGCAGGGGGTGGGGTAGGCTTCCCTGAAGAGATGGGTTTTCAGGGTGCGCCTAAAGGAGAGGAGAGTAGGTGATAATCTGATGGGTTGGGGCAGGAAGTTCCAGAGGATGGGTGACACCCTGGAGAAGTCCTGGAGGCGGGCATGGGAGGAGGAGACCAGGGAACTAGAGAGAAGGAGGTCTTGTGAGGAGCGGAGTGTGCGTGCTGGGCGGTACTTGGATATTAGGTCAGTGATGTAGTTTGGGGCAGTATGGTGGACAGCTTTGTACGTCAGTGTTAGGATTTTGAATTTGATCCGTTGCGCAATCGGAAGCCAGTGGAGGGATTGGAAAAGGGGGGTGGAGGAAACAGAGTCCAACCCCTCTCAACCCCCCACCCCACCCCCTCAGTCTCTGCCCGAATCACACACCCACTGAGTGACACATCAGACCGGATGTCGCTCCACTTCCCCAAACCAAACCTCTCCAAAACCGAGTTTCTTGTCTTCCCCCCAGCCCGTGCAGACTCCTCCTCTGCAACACCGCCAAAATCTGCACGTTCCCAACCCCAGAAACCACCAAACAGCCCACCCACTCCCCCATCACACCACGACTCGACCACTGCAACTGCAGTACTTCTGCTGTAGGGCAACTGGTTAAGCACATTTTAACGATGGTGTTACAGTTACTTGAAATACTATTTTGTCATACTAAAATTAACAAAAGGTGGTTTTGAATAAATTATAAATTCATGTTTTACATTCATGGCTACATAGAGACATTTTGAGCTATAAAGACAAATACCATGTTAGCTGAAGGGAGATCCAAAGTTTATCACTACTGTACTGCCATCTTCAGGATTATATTGTGAATGGTTTCGTCAACAACAAATTATCCAAGCCATATAAACCCATTGCATTCATTCAGGAGTGAAGTAATATGAAAAGCATATACATCTTTTTTTTTTTAAACACATGATGCTTAGTGAGAGAGTGACCACTCTCTTAAAAGGATGCTAAATTAGCAAATAAGAAGTTGCAAATCTGCAAGATAGAGTAGGGACTTTCCAGAGAAGGATCGCTTTGATGCCATTAGCCAGCTGCAACATGCATTGCAATGTTCCAGCTTGCCAACTGTAAACTAAGAATCCCCATTTTATTAGCAAGAGTTTGCTATGAATAGACTAATAAGTATTTCATGTGTTGTATAAATGGAGGCTATTTTGGACTTGAACACACATCTCCATTTCAAAAGCATAGAGCAAGTTAGCAATATATACAGTATATATAAAATATACATGTAGGGTAGGCTTCCCACTAACTCGTTGGGATCCAAGTGTGAGTCACATAAGAGGCCTACCCTGGGATGTTTTTTTTTGGGCTGCAGGCATTGAACGGGGTAAATGAACCTTGCATGCGGGGTAACACTTAACCCGAAAGCATGCTCACAAATGCCTGGGAGCAGGCGGGAGCCACGGTCATGTGAAAAATGAGGCAACTTTCTGACTCAAAGATTAGCCACATGTGTGCAGTACCCAAAGTACAAAGTTCCACCTTAAGCAGCTTCGTCCCATGTCATACACACTCGTATTGATGTATGTGTTGCATTCAGAGGGACAAGCTGAGTCTCTGCCCACTCCACCAGTCAGCGTACCTCTGCTACTTAACTCCCAGTAACAGAATGGACACCCGACAAGCACAAAGCATGAACCTCATATGTGCTGTCACTTAACTCTTCCCTTCCTGTGCCTAGTGACCAGGCCTTAGATCTTCGTAACGCTAG